AACCCTTTTAAGCTAAACTGGATCGCCGTTGACGTATTCAATAATTCCAGAGCGATGCTCATGCGACGGATTTTTTGGAACGAACTTCGCTGCCATACTCTTCATGCTCAAAATTCAATCCAAAATGTGGCACCTTTATTAATAGCGATTCGATGATTTTCCATAATAATTATTTCCCTTTCTCAACATTTTCGTCGGTCGTTGATGTTCTGGGACGTCCAAAAGGAGCATCGTGATTTGATCGCCATCTTCTTAACCTTCTCTGGAAGCCTTGTACCACTAGTAAAAATATTTTTAAATAAAAGTATACTCACCGTACGCCTCTTTCAACATCCCAAGTTTTTTTGATTCATTAATTTTATTTAAATCGTTGGAAAACATTTTGGGCTTGCGCCATTGTATCCGAAAGCTCTCCATACCATTAGAGATCCTCCCTGGAAATTTCCCGGATGCCGTGTATCTGGTGACCGTTGAATAACATTCTAATATTTCTTATAATATTTTCGGCCTTTTAAACCACTTTTGCAGACCTTGGTCTAAGCCTGTTAGCCCCAATATAGTGACCTATTTTCTGGTTGATGTTTTCTCTTCTTTCTTTAATAAATTTAGGCATTTGAATGAACTTCTGTATAACACATATATTTGTTTGTATGTATGTTTATGATCTCACCCATTTTTACTTTCTTCTCGGCAAGTGTAGTGGTCAGACTTTAGTACTTTGGATGGTAAATACTTTGAATATAAATACACGGTCAAAGGCCAAGCCTTTTCTACTGCGATTTCCTATACCAAATTATGGTTTTCTTTCATTATTTAGACGCTTATTACGCTCATTACGCTCATCTTTAGTACCAATTTTCATGAGGGTATCTCAATTTCTACTTAAGTTACTGCTCAGGTGGATGGATCAACAAAAGGATAGACCGTCACCCGGAATTCAAATCTTCTAGTCATTACTGATCATGTGTTCGCGTACGTTCTAAGTCTCTGCAGTGACATATTGCGAGAGTATAAAAAGCAGAGTATCAGTTGAACAATATTTGGATAGCTTATAGCATCAATTTTGTATCTCAACAAAGTGTATTTAGTTTGTTACCTCTAGAAGAAGCATATATAAATGATCAGCCTGATAAGCTGAGTGGATTTAGCGAAATTATCTATCAATTTTTAGATATCGTTCTGTCCTTTTGTGCACGTTTTTTGCTCTCCAAGAAATTGTTCATTTATCAGATCCGCCGATATCACACAACAGTAGCATATCTCTGCCGCCCAAACTGGCGGATCAAAGCCAAGTACTTATATGAACAACTTTTTACCATATTTGACAAAATATCTTCACGAAATTTGACATGAATTATTGCAAGGAAAGTACAATTTCCGAGCATAATGTTCAGATCAAATCGTAATAAGTAATGCATCTGTGATTTAACTTTTTTCTGGTTCAATAAATGTATCATTAATGTTGAAATGTATAAAATTATAAAACTTTCAAATCAAGGGCTTTTACTACATAATTACTTAATATTGAAAAATCGTAATATAACTTTCAACAATTAATTATTTAATTTTTTAAATGCTAACATTCTTCAGTTACAGTTTGAACCATTAGACCACTCAGTTAAATGAATTTACACTAATACACTTACTATGTATGTACTTATATAATTCGTACTCATATAACACACATGTATACTACTTGTAGTAACAAGCCAATATGGTTTAAAAAGCTTTGATTTGCATTTAATTGTTTTGTAATTAAATCAATTAGAGTACACGAAAACACTCTGTTATTCAATTATTGCAAATCACAAAATTTCAGATATTGGATACGCATATCGAAAAAAGAAATATCAAAGTTTTTTGTTCAAAAAACTGTATCAAAACTTTGCAACATTACAATTCCAATACGGTATTGCCAAAGATGAAGCAGTAGTGCATGCAGCAAGAAAACTATTTTTTCAAATACCTTGAGTCATGATTAACGACGAATTGTTTTCAGTTTTTAGTAAATGTGAGCACATATCAAAGGCGATTGTCTATTATGCAATTAGGAAATAATGATTATCAAACATTTCTTTAAAAGATTTCACGAAATGCCATTTACTTAGACTAAAGTTTCAAAATATTTAAAACCGTTGACAGATCACGACTCATAAGCTATTTTATATCACTGATTTCGACATCAAAATCGTCTTACAGATATTTTCTCAAGTTAAAATATCGAATCGAAAAAATTAAAGAATTTCATCTCCTCTACCACATATCAAAGGCAGGTTGGTCGACTCAATTTTATATGAGAAGTGTTATGGTTTCAGGGAGCCTTTATGCACAAAAAATTAGATGTAGGCACTTTTCTTGGTATCTAAGAGGCCTTCAATAATATGCCGCCGGAGACAGTGTCTAAACCCCCTGGAAAAGTTTGGGGTGGCATCGATCTTCAGGCATCTTATATATAGTCTTCTTAGCTACAGAACGGCAAGCGGAGTGGGGTTTTCAAAACATCCCCAAACGTTAATAAGGCTACCTGCAGAGTAGTGTACATTCCCCACTGCTGAAGATGTGGAGAAACGTAGTAAACGGATGGAAGCTGACGACGTTGTCTTATGGTTTAAGACAGTCTCTAAACGCAGTCTAAGACTTACCTAAAGAGTACCTCAGCATGGTATCCGGTTGGGCTTAAAAAACACTGAAATGTTGTTTTTAACTAGAAGGTATTAGATCACAAACGTGCCTCTCCCATCCTTTGAATATTCCCGTCATCAAACTGTAAGGGTAATCCATAGATAAAAAGCTTTCTTAAACCCCAAATATTTAGGAAGATACGGATGGGGGGAAGATGCGCAGTAGGAGTTTTCATGGATGGGTCGAAGCTTGAAAGGAAGGCTGTAGTAGCTCTCTGTCAATCTTACCTTCAACTACCGGACCACTCTTGTGCTTTTCAGGCAAAAATGGCCTTTATAAAGGTGGCAATAGACGTATTGTTACGAAGTGTAACCTTTTTTAGGGTGGTAAGCATTCACTCCAACAGCAGGGCAGCAAAGCTAGCTTAGAAATGTCTATTCTAAGTAGAAATAGCATCAAGCTACTTCATCATCAGACAGGTTTGGGTACCTGGTCACACAGCGGAATCGCTAGCAAAAGCAAAGCCGATGAGCCAGTCATAGGGGCACCCTCGCACCACTCACATCGGAATGGGACCGAGTTGGATATCTATTTATGCTTAGCGTTCTATCGCTGTGTGACTGTGAGACCCTTCTGACCTAGAATAGAACGTAAGTAATCTACTGATGAACAAAGTTCATCTTGCCTCAATCGTATGAATTCTTACTGGACGCTTTCCAATAAGCGTTCATGGGATAAAGCTCAAAATCTTGTCGGACACTAGTTGTCATAGTTGTTTGAAGTAGGATGAGATGGAAACATCCAGGCACTTTCTCTTCCAAAGTACAGCCTTTACCAGACTGAGGCTGAAATAAAATAGATTAGAGTAAAAAGATAGAGTAAAACTTGTATTAGCCATCTAAATAAATTTGTAAAATTTGTGATCGGCTCAAAGCGTCTTGTCGATCTGGAAGGGTCTTATTATTCAGTTTTTAGAGATTTTGGACCACTGCTGACCGGCGTTCTAAGCTATTTCTCTTAAGATGAACCTCCTCTTAATCTAGATTCTACAGTTCTACAGTAAGCTGCAATTTTTTATAGTTTTTTTGGTTTGTGAGCGTGGCAATGACCTAAATTTCCAACCTCATCTCTATCGAATAAACAAATGGTGGCACCTACATATCTACGAATGAGTTTTTGAAACTCCCTGTGGTGTATTTCTCGTTCTCTAGGGATGAATAATCATATAAAGTCAAAAGAAGCATCAAAATATGAGCTACAGCAAAAAAGGCAACAGCATAAAATTTTTTAATTTTGTTATTTCAGTAAAATTTAATTTATTACAAAAACTAATTATCTTAGAAATGAACGTTACAATGCCGTACTCTAAACGACTTTTCAAATAGATCATGAGAAAGCGTTACTAGGCCTCCATTAAATAGCGAAAAATTAAATTAATTAATAAAAACCTTGCAGAATAACAAACTTGACATCACATGACCAGAGGACATGCAACAATTGAAAAACTAAGCAAACAAAAACTCAATTTATGCTTAAATGTAACATGAGTTTCATTGCATAATTAATGCAATGAGGTTATCTAAGCAATAATGTGATCTGCTATAAAAAAATAAATAATGAAAATAATAATAAAGCATGCCAAAATAATAATTGTATATTATTTTATTTTAGAATGCGGTGAGGGGTATGCTCGAGGAAATACCTTCAAAGATTTCCGGTGCGAGAATGCAAAATAAATATATTATTACTCGTCTTTGGCCACCAAAAAAGGAATTTACTATCAAAATACCAGGCGCTTCAAAGTCAAATCATAAAAATCGCTAATATTAACTCAATTGTCCACCTATTAAAGTCACAATGAATGAAACCAATAAAATTACCATCACAAATGGAGCAGCGCTTATGATTGCCACCAGCGAACGTCAAAGACGCGCGAGCGACTGCGAACAAGCCATATTGGTTAGATGCCGGCAATCACGTTTATTGCGCACGCTGTTGAGCGTTTAGCTCAGAGCGCCTTGAGCGCATGCGCACGGTTCTATCCGGACTTTTAATATTTATTTTGCTTTTGGCTCTCATGTTTTTGCTACCCCTCGCTCTCGTGCCAAGCACGAGTATGTGCATCAGCTGACTCGTTTGAGCGTCAGTGTTTGTTGTTTACAGCGAGCCAGCGTGGTTTGTTTCAAGCATGCGCTTGATCTGCGCTTTGACGCTCAGCTGAGTCGCCGCTCGCACTTTGGTCGTCAGTTTGTCTTTACTGACTTTTGCTTTTAAATTTTTCTTTTGTGTCGCAGCATTTTCGTCAGCGCGCTTTAAGAATTTTTCTGATTTTCGCGTATAAATAACTGCCACAGTTGCTGTTTGAAGGCATAACAACATTTGCGGTTAACAATATCTAGTGGTAGTTGTACCTGAAAGTCTTACATTCTAAAATCGTAGAAAAAATTCAACTCAATACAAAATGTTCAAATTGGTAAGCAGCTGAAGGATATTCAAGGATGTGGAAGGAATTGTGATTTTTGATTTTGTGTGTGCTGGAAAAATATATATTTCTGAAGTTTTGTTTTAAAAAAAAAAGTGTGAAATTTTTTGTGATATATGGGCTTTGGACGGAGACGATTTTTTTTTTAATTTTTTCTTAAAAAAAAAAAAAAAAAAAAAAATACGTTATATCGAAAAATATACTATACTATATTCAGGATTATTTCATACATGCTTAAAAGCTACACAGTCAAAATGTTGACAAAAAAAAAAAATTCTGTTATAAAAGTTTCTCCAGTAGTTATTTCTGCCTTTTCCGTGGATAAAACCTAGATTCTAGTTAAACTAGAAGATATTCTTCGCAGTATAATAATCGAAAAAAAATTAAAAAATTAAATTTAAAATTAATATATCTAGAATATTGGTTCCTTTTGGCATACCAAAATGCAATTTTTCAGTATTTGTATGTAAATTTCATTACGATCAGATTTCCTCTTTACTGAGTGGATACTCTTTAAATGACTGTAACTCAAAAACTATTTGATATAATGATTCGAAATTTGTATATGTTATTTCTAAAGGCATAAACTATCGAAAAAAATATTTTAAACTCGGCCGTTATGACGCCATTTCCGGTGACCCCTCGAAAAGAAGATCCACCTGCATTGGAAAAATACCAGTTTTAGTTATATCCTTAACGTCGACGAAGGAAAAAGACTAAAATTTGGATTCTTGGTAAACATTTTTACAAGAAATTTTAAATTCCTGTGAAAATTTCGTGAAATTTTTTTCTCAAAAATTTGTAATAAAAAAAACCTTCGTCCTAGTCTTTAAATGGAGTTCCTCAAAGACCTATATAAAATTTGATAAAAGATCGATAGAGTAGTTTTTGAGAAATCTTTCCGGCCGACTTAAAAAACAAAGTTTCGGGAAAACTGCTTTTATAGATGGCACACTTAGCCTACCTATTATCTAATGCAAAAGTGCTTTAGGCTGTATCTCCCAAACTAATATTCGGATCAACTTGAAAATTTAGGTCAATGTTCTAGAGGTGTTATAAAATTTAATAAGACAGGAAAAAACTCGATTTTTTTGAAACCATTCGATTTAAAAGTTGTTAGACTATATTAATCGGATGCGTTTTGTTATAGATCAAAAATTTTAAGAAGAGCTCTTTAAAAGTTTAATTCAATTAAATAAATACATTACTATTAAAAGTTTAGTAAGTAAAATACAAAATTAAGTAAAGTAAAATCTTTAATAATATTATTTTTATATTCGATAACCTTTCCTGTATTTAAAAATACAAAATTAAAAAAAAACATTTTTCATAAAATTTTCATTTTCAAAAAAAAATACTTAAATTGTAACTTCAACAATTTTCAGATCGTTACTCTGTCTGCACTCTGCGCTGTTGCCTCCGCCGGCTACATTGGTGGCTACGGACTCGGCGGTCTTAGCGGTCATGGTGGTCTAGGCTATGGTTTGGGTTATAGCGGCTACAGTGGCATTGTTGCACCAGCATACCATTCATCCGCCATTGTGGCACCCGCACCAATTGTAAAGACTTACAGTGCACCCATCGTCGCCGCTCCAGTGGTGAAGACCATCGCGCCATTGGCCACATCATATGCCAACACCTACAAAGTGGCCACCAAGGCTATTCCCGTAGTGCATGCCGCCCCTGCTCTGGTGCACGCTGCACCAGCTGTTTATGCCGCACCCGCCTACCACGGTTCCTTGGGTGGTTATGGGCTGAACTATGGTTATGGTCATGGTTTGTTGCATTAAGGAGTGAATTTGAACAAAAAATAGAGAAATGATCATGTGGACAAGGATATGACAGCGGCTAATGACTAATTCAACGTTAATAAAACATAAAACTGATGGTAGCACAAGTAGTTGTGCGGTGCGTGCTGTTGAGCTTTGTAATGTGAGAAAACATTTTCTGATATTGATTTTGCCAGAAGCGCAAATTCTTTGAGAGAGACTGGAGTGAGTAAATAATGCAGACTATTCATAAAAATAAGAACAGCGACCACTAAATTGGTGGCCACTTTTGCAGTGAGTGAGCAGAGCTGAGTAGAAACTACTTAACTGCCAACAACCGACGAGTATTCTTTTCCGCAGAGGTTTTGTTTGTTTGTTTCGTGTGTTTAATTTGGTGTCTAATTTTTAAGTATTTTTGTAATAAATTGTTGATATGAAATCGAAAAATTGTTTAATTACCCAATTTGACTAAACCAAACTGCCTTTCAATGAAATCGGGGAAGCGCATTGCAACTAACAGCAAATCATTTCGCATTCAAGCATAGTTCCGTTTCTACAACAACATTTAAAGCAAGTAAATGGAAAGACGGTCTCAAACAAAAGACTGCTGCAACGAACCTCAAACTCCACGCTACGCGCCACTTAAAACCACATTACTCGGTCCAATAATTCATTGCTATGCGTAGGAAAGTCCATCGGTTTCACCGCCAATAAATTATACGAACCGAAGAATTGCATAATCGGCAGTTGCAGCACTGCTTTAATAATGCGTACTTTCAGCTCTTTCAAAAATCAAATCAAATGTTAACGGTCTATATGCCGTTTATTAAGCAGCTAATTTATTGGCCAGCTGTGCCCCCAATTGTGGCATTTAGCGCTGCTTTAATCAGCATTTGATTCTTGCACCCACACTGCCTACTTATCAATGCAACAACGACAAGTCGCAATTTATGAGCATAAATATGTTTGTTTTTGTTGTTATATTGTTGCGCAATGTCTGCCGCATGTCTGCATTGCACCGTTGCATATCATCAACTCGCAATCGCTGCCACAAAACAATGCCAACATTCATGCAACAAAAGCACATGCATTCAACATATTGTGGGTGCTGGCGGCGCATGCTGATTTGCCAAAGAAAAACATTTTTTCATCTGTCACAACTGCAATTTACATAAAGCAACGACCTTGATTCGCACAATTAGCTCAAGAGACAAGATGTTTTTTATTGCTGCCGGTTGTATGCGGCTAATCGGCGAAGTAGATTGTTTAAATTTTCTTAGATAAAAGAGACAATAAAAGTCGTGCTTCGGCGATTTCTTGCCTTTGCACTTTTACTTTTTAAAACAGTTAGTTGGTGACGGCGAACTGATCGCTTGTTTTCAAGAACTACTATTGTTTGTGGGCTGTCACGAAATCCAAGTAAGAAAATTTTTTAATCCGTCTTTGTATTTTCAATGAAAAATTGTTTTCTTCTGTTGAAAAGTGTAAAAATATATTATATATAAAATATATATAACATATAAAATTACGTCACGTTATTTGTTCGCGATGGACTGCTAAACTATTGCACCAATTTTAGTAAAATTTAGCACACCGTGTCTAGTTTGAAGCAACTTAGGAGACAGGATAGTCAAAATAATTCATAACTCAGAAATACAATGAAAGCTGCATTAAGTAATCACTCTATTAAACGGACATCTCCATTTACATATTGATCGGTCCCACAATTTGTTGATATTTATTAAGTACAATCTATTAAGCGGTCAAATCTTATAACTGGACCAAAATACTGTTTCGTCAGTATCTGGTTATGGGAGACTGTATGTATATATTTCTAAAACATATATATTTATATTTCTAAACATACGCATGTATTCACAATCCTCAAAAAATATAATACAGTTGAACTTCTATAACTCGAAGTTCTCCATAACTCGAATTTTTAATTAGCAATAGAGTCAAATTGCTTAAAAATATCCTGCCATAACTTGAGGCTTTTTTGTGGACTATGATGATGCGTGTTAGGAATGTTCAACTGTAATCTTAAGGGCCGTTTCCTCAATGTCTTTTTACATATAATAGATTGGTCTGTTGAGTTTTGTTAAACTTAACCAAGATGTCTCTTCCGGTAAAGAACGTTATTTGTATGAACATATTCAAAATTAAACTTCAAGTACAATCGCCGGTACTTATACCATCAAAAATTGTCAAATGAAATTTTCACTGTCTTGAATAGTATATAGTATATGAATAGTAGTTTAAAATGTATGCGACAGCAAAGCGTAGCCGGATCCACTAGTATATATATAATATGCGGTTATAACACAGCTTTATTTTTATACCCAGAACAGGATATATTCAGTTTAAAACGATGTTTGTAGCACCCAAGTGAACCATAGGAACTTTTATAGGGTAAAGTATATATGTATGTAAGTAAATGATAAGCGTGACGAGCTGAGCCGATCTAGATATATTCGTCTGACTGTTTTGTTCTGTTCGGGCACTATAGCATAGACTAAGACACTGATGCCGAAGAAATTGTTCAGCTCGGATCCTTATATAGAGTCCAGCACTCGAAGTGTAACCAATTAAAATATCCATAAATTCGATTTTGAAAAGTATTTTTATTTAGTTTAAAAAACAAAATGTGTGAAAATAATCATAAATTCAGCACCAATACACTTTTGCTCGATATGATCACCATTTGCCTTAACTATAGTCTTGAGACGGTCAAAAGACAAGCTGTCCGAAAGTTACTTGCCGGTATTTTGGCCTACTCACGGACAATGGCTTTCTTCAGCATCTCGAGACTGGTGTATTTTTTACTTCGAAGCTTGCTCTCCAAAATGGCTCAGAGAGAATAATCCATTGTATTCTCATCTGGTGAATTCGAGAGCTATTGTGTAGTCGTAATGAAGTTCGGGACGTTGTTTTGCAGCCATTCTTGCTTCACTCGCGCTTTGTGAGAAGATGTTGAGTCTTGTTGAAATGTCCATAATATGTTGCATTTACTTTGACGCCAATCTCGATGAAAACAATTAGAAAGCACCCATCTTAGATTCTCGTATTAACGGTCGGTCAAGTAGACCCTAACGATTTGAGAGTTTACAGGTTGCTCAACTTCTAAACACCATTTCACGTAGTGTTGCAGTATTTTGATGACCATTTCCATGGCGTTTTACGATGCTACCAGTATCATTGTAGCAAGTGATGGTGTGATAAACAAACACTTTATTCACATTAAGATGTTTGAGCTCACGAACAATTGCTGGCTGTGATTTTATAGCTAAATATAAAGCAAGCACACTATTGCGTTTGAATTCCATCGCTGATCACTTTTTTTGCGTTCACTTTTGGCAAAACGCTTTTGTACACTTGTGAACAATACTAGGAACTGTCATTCAACAAATTTATAAATAGCTGAATCCAGTGCGACTGAAGTTGGCTACACTTCGAGTGCCGGACACTGTAGTAACGAGCTTCCATACGAACTGACCGATCGCCATTCTTGTAAGGAATCTTTTGTATTTGTGTGTAACCGAAGGTTTCATCTATCTCTATCCGATCCCGAAGGGTCTATCTATTTATTTGTTTTTGGAACGAAGTATACTATTTATGTGCATCAGAATGCTGGAGGATAAAATACATGGAGCGTTCTAAAGTAAACATGACTTTTTGATATATTCATGACATTTCATCGATTGGAAGTGAAGTTATTGCGTGTCAGTATGTTTGTATTATCGGTGCGAAAATGAGATTCGAACAAAAAGCTAACATTAAATTTTGTTTTAAAACTAGTAAAACTTTTACCGAATCATTTCAATTGATAAAACAAGTTTATGTCGATGATTGTCTATCCCGTAGCAAAGTGCGCGAGTGGTTTCAATGTTTTTAAAGTGGTCGTGGGGACATAAACGACGATCAACATGTGGGCCAACCAAAATCCGTAATCGCCGGAAATTCCATCGAAACTGTGCGTGAAATCATTAAAAATCAGTCGAAATCATCATTAAAATTCATTGCAATGGAATTAAACATTTGAAAAACATCGATTTATCACATTTTGACTGAACATTTGGGCTTACGAAAGGTCTGTGCATGGTTTGTTCGGCATAAATTGACTGACGACCAACAATCGATCCACGCTTGTGACCGATTATTTGACCAAAACTCACATTTTAACGATTAACCACTCCCCGTATTCACCTGATATGGCACCGTGCGATTCCTTCCTTTTCGGAAAAATGCATTTGCCCATGAAAGGAAAGCGTTATGCAGACGTCGAGGCCATTCAAAACGCTTGCACCGGCTTACTGGCGACCGAGCTAAAACACTCGTTCGACATGCTTTTAGACCGTTCAAAAAGCTGTGTTCAGCAGAAGGAGACTATTTTGAATAAAATAAATTGATTTTGCAGAAAAACCATTTGATCTGAGTTTTTGTGAAAGCCCTATTTACTTTGAAACGCATCTTGTGTGCCAGTATAAAAATATACCTGTAGTCTTCACATTACTTTCGAGGGGTTATCACTGTTTTTCCACTTTTCTACCGAATACACATGTGAATTCTCAGAACTCAGAACTTTTGCTCAGACTCCCATTATAATCAGTAAGAAATTTAAGGTTCTGTTATGCCGTCTGTATCGTAGTTCAGAACGAAAGTTGGGTGAGTCTTCTGTAGCGACCTCTCCATCAACTCTACTTCAGACTGTAGTGCTTTTCATGGATTGGCAGTTGACCGCAGTTCTACAGTTTTTAACCAAACAGAATCCAAGAGGCATACTTGAGGTTAGATTGTTTGAGGGTAAAATATCTTGGATGTCATAATACCCTCGCCCCTTAATAGGCTTAATGGAAACATCTCAGAACTATCCGTACCATAGAATTAACTGGACACCTCTTTTACGTCTGAAAATGAGTGAAATTGTATATCAACCACGCCCACTCTTCTTATAATAGTTATGTTGGAACCTACTCAACTGCGATTACTCGGTGGTCTTACTAGTGGGCAATGGTTCTCATTGCTGGCTTGAACCGAAAATATCGGTCAATCTGCAGCATATATTAATGGAGTTCGTCGAAATACTTTTCCCGAAAATAATGTGCGCTAATATCAAAAATAGATATAGCGGTGCAAGACAGATATTTCAGCAAAATTGAAGATTTAATATTAATATAATATTTTTTTATATTGTATTTTAAATAATAAAATTTAATGTGAAAACTGTATGAAATCGGTCTATGAATTATTCCGGCT